GTGTTCCATAGGATTAAGGCCAGATATTGATGTTGGGTGAGAAGACCAAAGGTCTTTCAAAAGTAGGTTGAGGTCTGGGCTCTGTACAGGTCACTGGAGTTCCTCCACACCAAACTGGTCATCCATGTCTTTATGGAGCTGGCTTTGTACACGGGGGACAGTCATGGTGGGACAGAAAAGGGTCTTCACCAAACTGGTCCTCCATGTCTTTATGGAGCTGGCTTTGTACACAGGGGACAGTCATGGTGGGACAGAAAAGGGTCTTCACCAAACTGGTCCTCCATGTCTTTATGGAGCTGGCTTTGTACACGGGGGACAGTCATGGGGGGACAGAAAAGGGTCTTCACCAAACTGGTCCTCCATGTCTTTATGGAGCTGGCTTTGTACACAGGGGGACAGTCATGGGGGGACAGAAAAGGGTCTTCACCAAACTGGTCATTCATGTCTTTATGGAGCTGGCTTTGTACACAGGGGACAGTCATGGGGGGACAGAAAAGGGTCTTCACCAAACTGGTCATCCATGTCTTTATGGAGCTGGCTTTGTACACGGGGCACAGTCATGGGGAAGAGAAAAGGGTCTTCACCAAACTGGTACCACATGGCTGGAAGAGCACAATTGTCTCCAATGTCTTTGTACGATGGAGGATTACCAGGACCCTTCACTGGAGACACCTGACCTCCATCATCTGGAAGAAGTCCATGTACTTTTAGAAATATAGGTTGGTTTGGTGGCCAGGTGGCCACAATGTTTAGCCAAGCAGACAGAGCCGGGTTTGGCACCAAGCCTTGTGGCACACCACTGTTTGTACTTCATTCACAGCCACACTTACCCCTCTCAGTTCTGTACCCAGCGATTACAATCCCGCACTTCCATGGGCTCGGCGTCTCGTTCTGCTCCTTTTTTAAACAAAGCGACTTGTTGCATCGACAGTGGACCTCACCCCGGGAAGGAGGCTAGAACCTGCAAGGAGGAAATAATTGGTGGTCAGTTCGTGAAACGCACCCTGAACCCTAACCCTATACTACGCCTTACCCTGAACCCTAACCCCATACTACCCCTAACCCTGATCCCTAACCCCATACTACCCCGAACCCTAACCCTAACTTCATACCAACCCTACCCCTGAACCCTAACCCCATACTACTCCTAACCCTGAACCCTAACCCCATACTACTCCTAACCCTGAACCCTAACCCCATACTACCCCTAACCCTGAACCCTAACCCCATACTACTCCTAACCCTGAACCCTAACCCCATACTACTCCTAACCCTGAACCCTAACCCCATACTACCCCTACCCCTGAACCCTAACCCCATACTACTCCTAACCCTGAACCCTAACCCCATACTACCCCTAACCCTGATCCCTAACCCCATACTACCCCTACCCCTGAACCCTAACCCCATACTACCCCTACCCCTGAACCCTAACCCCATACTACTCCTAACCCTGAACCCTAACCCCATACTACCCTAACCCTGAACCCTAACCCCATACTACCCCTAACCCTGATCCCTAACCCCATACTACCCCTACCCCTGAACCCTAACCCCATACTACCCCTACCCCTGAACCCTAACCCCATACTACTCCTAACCCTGAACCCTAACCCCATACTACCCTAACCCTGAACCCTAACCCCATACTACCCCTAACCCTGAACCCTAACCCCATACTAACCCTGAACCCTAACCCCATACTACCCCTAACCCTGAACCCTAACTTCATACCAACCCTAACCCTGAACCCTGACCCCATACTACCCCTAACCAGTTTTCATCCTCCAGTCCTGTTTACTGAGGGGCAATAATAATAACTTCCTTCGGTTCATACGACTGGCGATGGGAACACCTGGATCCAATGATTTGGAGGGCTGGCCCAACACGTCTGGCAATGTAGCGTGGTTGATGTGCCTGGCGGGGTCTTAGGGTTGGGGTTTGGGGTTCACACGACCGACGATTATCAATCAGGCCTACAGCGTTAGTGCGAGTTGCTCGTTGGGTTTGACGTGCATTTAATGCGCATTGAAAATCGCTTCCTGAACACCCGAATGTGCGTTTGACGGGCATTAAAGGTGCACTAAAAACACGCCGGATGCCTTTTTTTGGCTGTTGTGAATAAGGCCTAACATACCGCAAACGCATGGCGGCGTGGTTATGGTGCGTTATTATAGACTTGAATGGAAGGAGTTGAGAGGCTTCAATTTTGAGATGACGTGACGCAGCGCTAATGCTTCATGGTTTGATCATTGCAAATGCGCCTCAAACTCCTGCTTTCAGTGCCAGTGTGAACAGGGCCTTAGGGTAAGTATGGGGTTAGGGTTCAGGGGTAGGGGTAGTATGGGGTTAGGGTTCAGGGTTAGGGGTAGTATGGGGTTAGGGTTCAGGGGTAGGGGTAGTATGGGGTTAGGGGTATCAGGGTTAGGGGTAGTATGGGGTTAGGGTTCAGGGGTAGGGGGTAGTATGGGTTAGTTAGGGTTCAGGGGTAGGGGTAGTATGGGGTTAGGGATCAGGGTTAGGGGTAGTATGGGGTTAGGGTTCAGGGGTAGGGGTAGTATGGGGTTAGGGATCAGGGTTAGGGGTAGTATGGGGTTAGGGTTCAGGGGTAGGGGTAGTATGGGGTTAGGGTTCAGGGTTAGGGGTAGTATGGGGTTAGGGTTCAGGGTTAGGGTAGTAGTTCAGGATATGATGTTGGGGTTCAGGATATGATGTTGGGGTTCATAATAGTATGAGGTCGGGGTTAGGATATATGTTGGGGTTCATAATAGTATGAGGTCGGGGTTCAGGATAGGATGTTGGGGTTCATCTTAGTATGTATGTTGGGTTCAGGACAGGATGTTGGGTTCATATTAGTTTGATATTGGGGTTCAGGATATGATGTTGGGGTTCAAGATATGATGTTGGGGTTCAGGATATATGAGGTCGGGGTTCAGGATATGATGTTGGGGTTCAGGACATGAGGTCGGGGTTCAGGATATGATGTTGGGGTTCAGGATATGAGATCGGGGTTCAGAATAGGCTGTCGGGGTTCAGGGTTAAAATGATGTTGGGGTTCAGGATATGAGGTCGGGGTTCAGGATATGAGGGGCGGGGTTCAGGATATGATGTTGGGGTTCAGGATATGAGGTCGGGGTTCAGAATAGGATGTCGGGGTTCAGGGTTAGTATGATGTTAGGGTTCAGGATATGAGGTCGGAGTTCAGAATATGAGGTCAGGGTTCAGGATATGAGGTTGGGGTTCAGGATATGATGATGGGGTTCAGGATATGAGGTCGGGGTTCAGAATATGAGGTCAGGGTTCAGGATATGATGGGGTTCAGGATATGAGGTCGGGTTCAGGATATGAGGTTGGGGTTCAGGGTTAGTATGAGGTTGGTGGTTCAGGATATGATGATGGGGTTCAGGATAGGAGGTCGGGGTTCAGGATATGATGATGGGGTTCAGGATAGGAGGTCGGGGTTCAGGATATGATGGGGTTCAGGATAGGAGGTCGGGGTTCAGGATATGAGGTCGGGGTTCAGGATAGGAGGTCGGGGTTCAGGATATGATGATGGGGTTCAGGATATGAGGTCGGGGTTCAGGATATGATGGGGTTCAGGATAGGAGGTCGGGGTTCAGGATAGGAGGTCGGGTTCAGGATATGAGGTCGGGGTTCAGGATATGATGATGGGTTCAGGATATGAGGTCGGGGTTCAGGATATGATGGGGTTCAGGATATGATGGGGTTCAGGATAGGCGGTCGGGGTTCAGGATATGATGGGGTTCAGGATATGATGGGGTTCAGGATAGGAGGTCGGGGTTCAGGATATGATGGGGTTCAGGATATGATGGGGTTCAGGATAGGAGGTCGGGGTTCAGGATATGATGGGGTTCAGGATATGATGGGGTTCAGGATAGGAGGTCGGGGTTCAGGATATGAGGTCGGAGTTCATCTTAGTGTGATGTTGGGGTTCAGGATTAGGTTGGGGTTCTCTGCCATCTCTGGGCCCCCCCTAGCCCCCCTGGGCTGGTCGATATTTGCAGGCCGCCTCCCCCAGCGCAGCGCGGCGTCAGGACCGGAATGTCAGTTGCAGAGACGGAATAAAAGTGAAATGTGGCGATGAATCTTCTGCGTTTTCTTGGCTCCTCCCCCCAGTTTTGCGCCCAGCTAATCGCCCGGCTTACCTCAGCCTGCCAGGTAATTGGCAGCACACGCCGGCCGTCCCGTCAGTGATCGCTGTACCCCGGGTAGTCCGCTGCGCTGGTGTCACCCCTCCCCGTGCAGGTAGACGTGGGTGTGTGGCGGCGGTGGGAGGGTGGGGGTGGGGCATGCTCCCGCACGTCAGGAATGCGCTCACACTGGAGGGATCACCTGCTGGACGACTCACACAAAGGCCTTGTAAACCTCACACCTATTAGGGAAAGTGGGGGATTAATTATACCTCGGGCCCCGGGGCCACTCTCACTTCAAGGCTCCCCGCCAATTGGAAGCTTTTATCTGAATGGATTTCTTCCTCCCGCTAATCAGCAAAACGTTTCCATTTCTAGTATTTACTTTACTGTATACCCACTGGGTCTCTGCGCTTCTCTATGCATTGCCATCATCATACCATCACTGGGTCTCTGTGCTTCTCTATGCATTGCCATCATCATACCATCACTGGGTCTCTGTGCTTCTCTATGCATTGCCATCATCATACCATCACTGGGTCTCCGTGCTTCTCTATGCATTGCCATCATCATACCATCACTGGGTCTCTGTGCTTCTCTATGCATTGCCATCGTCATATCATCACTGGGTCTCTGTGCTTCTCTATGCAGTGCCATTGCCATATCGTCACTGGATCTCTGTGCTTCTCTATGCAGTGCCATCGTTATATCGTCGTCACTGGGTCTCTGTGCTTCTCTATGCATTGCCATCGTCATATCGTCACTGGGTCTCTGTGCTTCTCTATGCAATGCCATAGTCATATCATCACTGGGTCTCTGTGCTTCTCTATGCATTGCCATAGTCAAACCATCACTGGGTCTCTGTGCTTCTCTTTGCAATGCCATAGTCATATCATCACTGGGTCTCCGTGCTTCTCTATGCATTGCCATCATCATACCATCACTGGGTCTCTGTGCTTCTCTATGCATTGCCATCGTCATATCATCACTGGGTCTCTGTGCTTCTCTATGCATTGCCATCATCATACCATCACTGGGTCTCTGTGCTTCTCTATGCATTGCCATCGTCATATCATCACTGGGTCTCTGTGCTTCTCTATGCAATGCCATCGTCATATCATCACTGGGTCTCTGTGCTTCTCTATGTATTGCCATAGTTATATCGTCACTGGGTCTCTTTGCTTCTCTATGCATTGCCATAGTCATACCATCACTGGGTCTCTGTGCTTCTCTATGCATTGCCATCGTTATATCATCACTGGGTCTCTATGCAATGCCATCGTCATATCACTGGGTCTCTGTGCTTCTCTATGCAGTGCCATCGTCATATCGTCACTGGGTCTCTGTGCTTCTCTATGCATTGCCATAGTCATACCGTCACTGGGTCTCTGTGCTTCTCTATGCAGTGCCATCGTTATATCGTCACTGGGTCTCTGTGCTTCTCTATGCATTGCCATCGTCATATCGTCACTGGGTCTCTGTGCTTCTCTATGCAATGCCATAGTCATATCATCACTGGGTCTCTGTGCTTCTCTATGCATTGCCATAGTCAAACCATCACTGGGTCTCTGTGCTTCTCTATGCAATGCCATAGTCATATCATCACTGGGTCTCTGTGCTTCTGTATGCATTGCCATCGTCATATCATCACTGGGTCTCTGTGCTTCTCTATGCAGTGCCATTGCCATAATCGTCACTGGATCTCTGTGCTTCTCTATGCAGTGCCATCGTTATATCGTCACTGGGTCTCTGTGCTTCTCTATGCATTGCCATCGTCATATCGTCACTGGGTCTCTGTGCTTCTCTTTGCAATGCCATAGTCATATCATCACTGGGTCTCCGTGCTTCTCTATGCATTGCCATCATCATACCATCACTGGGTCTCTGTGCTTCTCTATGCATTGCCATCGTCATATCATCACTGGGTCTCTGTGCTTCTCTATGCATTGCCATCATCATACCATCACTGGGTCTCTGTGCTTCTCTATGCATTGCCATCGTCATATCATCACTGGGTCTCTGTGCTTCTCTATGCAATGCCATCGTCATATCATCACTGGTCTCTGTGCTTCTCTATGTATTGCCATAGTTATATCGTCACTGGTCTCTTTGCTTCTCTATGCATTGCCATAGTCAAACCATCACTGGGTCTCTGTGCTTCTCTATGCATTGCCATCGTTATATCATCACTGGGTCTCTATGCAATGCCATCGTCATATCACTGGGTCTCTGTGCTTCTCTATGCAGTGCCATCGTCATATCGTCACTGGGTCTCTGTGCTTCTCTATGCATTGCCATAGTCATACCGTCACTGGGTCTCTGTGCTTCTCTATGCAGTGCCATCGTTATATCGTCACTGGGTCTCTGTGCTTCTCTATGCATTGCCATCGTCATATCGTCACTGGGTCTCTGTGCTTCTCTATGCAATGCCATAGTCATATCATCACTGGGTCTCTGTGCTTCTCTATGCATTGCCATAGTCAAACCATCACTGGGTCTCTGTGCTTCTCTATGCAATGCCATAGTCATATCATCACTGGGTCTCTGTGCTTCTGTATGCAATGCCATCATCATATCATCACTGGGTCTCTGTGCTTCTCTATGCATTGCCATAGTCATACCGTCACTGGGTCTCTGTGCTTCTCTATGCATTGCCATAGTCAAACCATCACTGGGTCTCTGTGCTTCTCTATGCAATGCCATAGTCATATCATCACTGGGTCTCTGTGCTTCTCTATGCAATGCCATCATCATATCATCACTGGGTCTCTGTGCTTCTCTATGCATTGCCATAGTCATACCGTCACTGGGTCTCTGTGCTTCTCTATGCATTGCCATAGTCATACCATCAGTGGGTCTCTGTGCTTCTCTATGCAGTGCCATTGTCATATCGTCACTGGGTCTCTGTGCTTCTCTATGCAGTGCCATCATCATATCGTCACTGGGTCTCTGTGCTTCTCTATGCAATGCCATCGTCATATCATCACTGGGTCTCTGTGCTTCTCTATGTATTGCCATAGTCATATCATCACTGGGTCTCTGTGCTTCTGTATGCAATGCCATCATCATATCATCACTGGGTCTCTGTGCTTCTCTATGCAATGCCATCATCATATCCTCACTGGGTCTCTGTGCTTCTCTATGCAATGCCATCATTATATCGTCACTCTGTCTCTGTGCTTCTCTATGCAATGCCATCATTATATCGTCACTCTGTCTCTGTGCTTCTCTATGCAATGCAATACAAGAAACCATTGAAAAACCTTCATGACAAATGCGCACATGTCCTGATTAAAGGCGAAGAAAAAAAAGGGGGAAAGTGGAAAAGGCAATGGGACATCAATGTGCGTTTCTGTGGCCCCGAGTGTCATCCATTCATCTGATTCTATAGCGGGCGTACCATAGATCCGATCCTCGGGATGCCATCCCCAGATTTACGATCTCACATACTTTCGGAATACTTAACCCCGGGGGGAATCGTCAGGGAATGCAGGGGGACGCAGGGAATGCAGGGGCAGGGGGACGCAGGGGGATGGCAGGGGACTCAGGGAACGCAGGGATGCAGGGGGACGCAGGGGACTCAGTCCCGGCACCTCCAGCACTGAAAGTATGTAATGGCGAGGGGAGCTGGGGTATACTGGAGGATCTGTTGTAGCTGCCAGGGGTCTATGGTTGCTAGGTTGGTATTTTTTGGGGGGTCCAATGCTGCTGGCGATCTGTTTTTCTGCTTTTCTTGTTATTAAAATACTCCATGCAAATTACTTGGCACTACAAAATATTTGGCTTATTCTCTAAAAGGGGCGGTACTGGGAGGTGGGTAGGGGGAGGAACCAAGTGAAGGTGCTTGGAGATGGATAGGGGGAGGAACCAAATGAAGGTGCTCCGTGGGTAGGGGGAGGAACCAAATGAAGGTGCTCGGTGGGTAGGGGGAGGAACCAAATGAAGGTGCTCGGAGGTGGGTAGGGGGTGGAACCAAGTGAAGGTGCTCGGTGGGTAGGGGAGGAACCTAGTGAAGGTGCTCGGTGGGTAGGGGGAGGAACCAAGGGAAGGTGCTTGTGGGTAGGGGGAGGAACCAAGGGAAGGTGCTTGTGGGTAGGGGGAGGAACCAAATGAAGGTGCTCGGTGGATAGGGGGTGAGGAACCAAGTGAAGGTGCTCGGTGGATAGGGGTGTGGAACCAAGTGAAGGTGCTCGGTGGGTAGGGGGTGGAACCAAGTGAAGGTGCTCGGTGGGTAGGGGGTGGAACCAAGTGAAGGTGCTCGGTGGGTAAGTGGTGGAACCAAGGGATGGTGCTCAGGAGGTGGTAGTGGGTCGAACCAAGGGAAGGTGCTTGGTGGTATTGGGTAGAACCAAGGGATGGTGGTCGGTGGGTAGGGGGTAGAACCAAGTGAAGGTGCTCGGTGCGTAGGGGGCGGAACCAAATGAAAGCGCTTGGTGGGTATGGGGAGGAACCTAATGAAGGTGCTCGGTGGGTAGGGGGAGGAACCAAATGAAGGCGCTCGGGGTGGGTAGGGGGAGGAACCAAATGAAGGCGCTCAGAGGTGGGTAGGGGGTGGAACCAAGTGAAGGTGCTCGGTGGGTAGGGGGTGGAACCAAGGGACGGTGCTCAGAGGTGGGTAGGGGGTGGAACCAAGGGATGGTACTCGGAGTTGGGTAGGGGAGGAACCAAGGGACGGTGCGAGGAGGTGGGTAGGGGGAGGAACCAAGGGATGGTACTTGGAGGTGGGTAGGGGGGCGGTATGGAACCAAGGGATGGTGCTCGATGGGTAGGGGGTGGAACCAAGGGATGGTGCTCAGGAGGTGGGTAGGGGGTGGAACCAAGGGATGGTGCTCAGAGGTGGGTAGGGGTGGAACCAAGGGATGGTGCTCAGGAGGTGGGTAGGGGGTGGAACCAAGGGATGGTGCTCAGGAGGTGGGTAGGGGGTGGAACCAAGGATGGTGCTCGATGGGTAGGGGGTGGAACCAAGGGATGGTGCTCAGAGGTGGGTAGGGGGTGGAACCAAAGGGATGGTACTTGGAGGTGGGTAGGGGGTGGAACCAAGGGATGGTGCTCGGTGGGTAGGGGGAGGAACCAAGGGACGGTGCTAGGAGGTGGTAGGGGGAGGTGGAACCAAGGGATGGTACTTGGAGGTGGGTAGGGGATGGAACCAAGGGATGGTGCTCAGGAGGGTGGGTAGGGGGTGGAACCAAGGGATGGTGCTCGGTGGGTAGGGGGTGGAACCAAGGGATGGTGCTCAGGAGGTGGGTAGGGGATGGAACCAAGGGATGGTGCTCAGGAGGTGGGTAGGGGATGGAACCAAGGGATGGTGCTCAGGAGGTGGGTAGGGGGTGGAACCAAGGGATGGTGCTCGGTGGGTAGGGGGTGAACCAAGGGAAGGTGCTCAGTGGGGGGGGAGGAACCAAGGGAAGGTGCTCGCTGTGAGTAGGGGGTGGAACCAAGTGAAGGTGCTCGGAGCTGGGTAGGGGGTAGAACCAAGGGATGGTGCTCGGTGGGTAGGGGGTGGAACCAAGTGAAGGTGCTCAGTGGGTAGGGGAGGAACCAAGGGAAGGTGCTCGCTGGGTAGGGGGTGGAACCAAGTGAAGGTGCTCGGAGGTGTGGTAGGGGGTGGAACCAAGGGATGGTGCTCGGTGGGTACGGGGTGGAACCAAGTGAAGGTGCACGTTGGTGGATAGGGGGCGGGGACAAGAAGTGACTCAGAAGGAGGGAGTTCCTGCAGACAAGGGCGGCTCGATGAATAACTTGCATTCCTCAGTTGGTTCTCCACCATCGAAGAGCCTCGAGGAGTCTACAGGTGTGAGAAGGACGTCGCCGATTCCTGCTGGAGGTTACCTACAGTCAAGCATGGGGAGATCTAGGGGCGGGGAAGGCGGAGAGCAGCACCCTCATCAGCCAATCGGAATCAGTCTTGTATCAATCTGACATCTGAAAAGCAAACTCTGATTGGTTGCTATGGGTTGGCACTTTGTTGCATGCAGCACAGAAGCCGATAATGTCTCCCAATTCAAAGCCGGGCGACACCCGGGGCAGGAGCTGAACATATAATAAATGGGGGGTGGGGGGGGGGGGGGCTGCTGCTTTGGGTAGAAGTGGCAGTTGGAGTGAGAACAGAGCAGGAGGAAACACTAACCGTACATGAAGATGTCATCGGTCGTTCTGAAATGAGCTTTGTGTACTTTGACTTGATATCCGTCTCCTGCAGTTGCTGTACAGCAGAGCTCAGACTGGGGGGCGGAAGCAGCAGAGGCAGTAGACAATCCGTTCATATGCCGACAAGGAGCATGCACATAGGAGGAGAGAGCAGAGTGACAGAAAATGAGCTAAGTGTTGTGCTTTTTCTCCCTTCATTGCCCAATCACAGGCTAAGGTGGGCCTGTGACAGCCTGGGCTCAGAGGAAGTGGGTTGAATGCTGATGGCCCGCCTTTGTCTTGGGGGACTGAGGACATCCAGTGTCAGAAAAACAAGTACTGCAGGGATGGCTCCGGATCACAAGGTGAGTGTTGCAGGAAAAGTGGATCTCTTACGTCAGACGTTAATCCCCGGCCACACCCATCCGACTCTAAGATGGTGCGACTTCCAGTGAAGTCGCACGATTTCAAAGTTCGATGACATTTCGACTTTTCAGGACATCTGCGGCTTGCAAGACAGTTGTCTATGCAAGTCGTACCTGAAGGTGCTCGGAGGTGGGCAGGGAGTGGAACCAAGTGAAGGTGCTTGGAGGTGGGTAAGGGGGTGGAACCAAGTGAAGGTGCTCGGGTGGGCAGGGGATGGAACCAAGTGAAGGTGCTCGGAGGTGGAACCAAGTGAAGGTGCTCGGAGGTGGAACCAAGTGGAGGTGCTTGGAAGTGGGCAGGGGGTGGAACCAAGTAAAGGTGCTCGGAGGTGGGACAAAGTGAAGGTGCTCGGAGGTGGGACCAAGTGAAGGTGCTCGGAGGTGGGACCAAGTGAAGGTGCTCGGAGGTGCGCAGGGATGGAACCAACTGAAGGTGCGCAGGGGGATGGAACCAAGTGAAGGTGCGCAGGGGATGGAACCAAGTGAAGGTGCTTGGAGGTGGAACCAAGTGAAGGTGCTCGGAGGTGGAACCAAGTGAAGGTGCTCGGAGGTGGAACCAAGTGAAGGTGTTCAGAGGTGGAACCAAATGGAGGTGTTCAGAGGTGGAACCAAGTGGAGGGAGGTGCTTGGAAGTGGGCAGGGAGTGGAACCAAGTGAAGGTGCTCGGAGGTGGGCAGGGGGTGGAACCAAGTGAAGGTGCTCAGAGGTGGAACCAAGTGGAGGTGCTTAGAAGTGGGCAGGGGGTGGAACCAAGTGGAGGTGCTCAGAGGCAGGTAAGGGGGTAGTAGACAGGGAGTGTAACCAAGTGAAGGTGCTCGGAGGTGAGACAAAGTGAAGGTGCTCGGAGGTGGACCAAGTGAAGGTGCTCGGAGGTGCGCAGGGGATGGAACCAAGTGAAGGTGTGCGCAGGGGATGGAACCAAGTGAAGGTGCTTGGAGGTGGAACCAAGTGAAGGTGCTCGGAGGTGGAACCAAGTGAAGGTGCTCAGAGGTGGAACCAAGTGAAGGTGTTCAGAGGTGGAACCAAGTGAAGGTGTTCAGAGGTGGAACCAAGTGAAGGTGCTCGGAGGTGGAACCAAGTGAAGGTGTTCAGAGGTGGAACCAAGTGAAGGTGCTCGGAGGTGGAACCAAGTGAAGGTGTTCAGAGGTGGAACCAAGTGAAGGTGTTCAGAGGTGGAACCAAGTGAAGGTGTTCAGAGGTGGAACCAAGTGAAGGTGCTCGGAG